TAATATTGGTGAGTTAAATTTTATGTATTAAACTGGAAGATCCTTGGTTATATAAAAACACTTCGAAAATAGAATAGCCAAATCTGATTTCTTTATTACTTTGCCATCATAAATCTATGAGTGATGAGACCGCGATAGGCTGATCGGCCACATACATTGCATCAGGTACGATCACAGAACAAAAGTGGAATCGTGATTATATTAAATTATATGAGTGATCAGGATATGATCATGGAATCAGCAGAGCTAGCATTAATAAAGATTTTCAGTTAGAAGAACGTTAAAAAAGTGAAAATTAGTTCTAAGCTAGAACTCATCCGGAAGTCAGATTACACAGAGGTTCGAATCCTAACTAATCTACACAAATAAACCAAACAATCCAAAAATTCAACTAAGAGGTAACCCTAGCTTGGATAAGGCTTGAAAGAGGTGAGGATTAACTTGGTCCGAGGTTAGGGTTACTTGGGTAGGTATTTTGTTATAGAAGTTGGGTCTATAGATTGCCTTGGTCATGTTTATCGGAAATTACAATTTAGTTACGATTGGGTTACAAATTGGGTTTCGAATTGAGTACAAATCGGGTTACGAATTGAGTTACAATTTGGGTTACGATCTGGGTTACGGGATATGAATTTATTAGTAGTTCAATGTAACAATTATGAAATTGATCAATTAATTAATCAATTTAAAGATACTATATAAAAACAATGCGATATGACAATTTGGGTCTTTTACTTTAACTAGAAACTTGATTTTGCAGGAAAATATCACGTGGACAAGATAGACAAATCTTAACGATTCAAGAAAAACGATTTATAACTATTTAAAAGGGAAATATATTTTAGAGACAAATAAACACTTCGTTTCAAGACTATTCAAGATTCAGAAGGTTTTATTTTTTCAAACTCCAAGAGTTAATTTTATTGAAGGAGAATTTTCGCTCAATATATACTTTCTTTACATATATGAAATAAAAATAATAATAGTAAGAATACTGTCGATACCAACTATACTAATCATCACTACTATTGCTATTTTACCAATAATTCGTGTAACTATAACGATTTACATAATATTATCTATTTTAAGAATTTTGACAATCCTATAATACTAATTATTTCATGAATTCTTGGGATTTTCAAAATTTTCAGAATTCGTACTATGTCTAGAGCTGCAGTATTACCTGAGATGGTAATTTCCTTCTTTACAACATACAATTTATCATGTGTTATTTTTTCGTATAATGTATATATGTAATTTTCTGGAATAATTTTCTTAGCAAAAGTGCGCCTCTTTGAAACAAAAATATTTCTTGGTAAAAGTGATTTTATTAAATAAGTTTTGAACAAATATATATCTTATAAAAATATTATCAAACATGTATTCTGAATTAGATTTGTTGAAAACCTGCATTGCTGAGCTTGAGGCTGAAAATACAAAGCTTAAATAGATTATAAAAGAAAAATCTGATCTTGAGACTGAGAATTCCAAGCGTAAAGCTGAAAATACTAAACTTAAAGCTGAAGTAGCGAAATTAAGACATGATATCGAGGAAATCAAACTACAAATCTGAGTTAATACTAATAAACAGGATACATCTCTTATTGAAGATATTTCGTAGTCCTTAGCTTGTTTAGAATTACCAGTAATTCTTGAGGCCCAAAGGAGCACTAGAGGGACATCTTCTAATTCACTGCTTATCAAAGATCTCTCTGATAAGAAATATAGTATTAGCGTCAACCTAAGCCAGCTAAAAGCTGAACTCACATTATTAGAAGATAAGAAGATCAATGAATTTCTGGATTCAAAGTATAAAGAAAAGGTTAGTGAAGAGATAATTCAGAGCATAAAGGAAAAAAAGCTTCGAGAACAAGACTTATCTTTAGTTAATCAAATGAAATCTAAAAAGATGATATCTCAATCATGTGATGTAAAAACTGTGACAAAATGTTAAAATCAAAATTATATGCTTGACAATTCTGATATTATCTATATTGAAATATCTGAATCTGACAATCAAATCGTAAAAGGTTTAATACAAAAAATAACCTGTAATTAAACACAAAGTATTGTTTCTTCTGAAATCAACTCTATATCTTCAAATAAGTCTTGTATACAAGATATAATTCCAGGCTCTGTACAAAGTTTATTAGACTTATTTGATAAAGCAATTAAATCAGATCAGAAACAAATTTTCTGTTAGTATTATTATTCTTTAGAATTTGAAAATAAGATTAAAAGCCTTACAGCAGATGATAAGATTAAAGATAAAATAGCAAGATCAAAAATATATAAGGAAATAAAACTTTTTCTACCTAATATTACAGATGTAAATTTGCGTAAAAAAACTGAAAGAGCTCGAAAAATTCTTAAGCTATTTGGTAAAGGAGGAGTAGGTATAGATAAAATTAATTATATTATATATAGTGCAAGTACTATTTCGGGATTGAAAGATACTCAAATTCAGCATATCATAAATCAGATGGTATTAAAAACTGTGACAAAATGTCATGATCAGAATAATTCTGAAGTAAGTGAATCTACCACAACCCCTATCCCTTCAGATCTGGACAATTTACCAAAAGCTGAAATATCAGCAAAGTCTTCATCAGAAGCTCAAGTAAGTACATTATCTATATCTTCATCTAATCTGACTCATGATCATATTTATTTTCATAATAAAATATTAGGCTAGTATCCTAATATATATAGAGAATTTAGTAGTGAAAAATTCAATTATTATGGACTTATTGATAAGTCGTTATGTCTAGCATGCAAGTTGAGTCATAAGGATGAGAAGAGTATAAGAGGTAGATATGAAGCTGAATCCTATTTTATTAAATATAAGAAGCATGAAATTGAGATCACAGTATAAGTAAATAATTATATAAACTTGGACAAGTGAATAGTGATATTTTTTCTTGATAGCTACGTGATTTTGAATTGACTTGCATTAATATAAAACAATAACATGTCTTCTGATACTACTTCCAGCAAGATATTAACTGATGACTATTGCAAATAGCATGCTAATTTAGTTGATTTACCAAGTTCTCAGACAGATAAAATTCATTCTAGATTATATAAAGCATATATGGAAGAGACTGGACTCGATCCTTGGATAAAGTCTGAAACTTCTGAATCTACACAAAGCAAAAATGCTGATATTCATATCATACAAGACAGTTCGTTAATAATGATACCAAACAAAATTTGTACCTTCTCAATTTCTAAGACTAATTCAAACAAAAATCGCTTTCATCAGTATGCTATTGAATATAGAATGGATTCTGAAAAATTTTTGATTATTACTGAGGCTGAAAAAAATAGGTGGACTATAGGATGTTTTTGTAGGGATTTGAAAAGAGATATATGTTTCTATTGTAGTAGAATAGAAAGAAAAGAAGACTCTAAAAAATATCGTAAATTTTTAACAGATCAGGAGAGGCTAGTCAGTGAAGAGTTATTACGTTGCAGTATACTAAAAAGTAGTTTGAGTACTGCATAGCTCAATGATCTTATAGAAGAATAGGAAAAAATTCATGCTCAATTCACACAGATATCTTTTGAGGAAAAGACATTATTTGTACCACAGATAAATGTTAAGCCTACACTATCCAAACCTCGATCATCAATTTCTGTTCTATCTAAAGACCTGAAGAAAGGCAACAACATGTTATTGAAATGGTATTAGAATGATTTCCTTATTTAACTTTGAAACATAGTTGTAATTATTTTGATTTTAATAGATCTGTACTCTGTCCTTTATGTAATAAAAACTATAAAAAGGAAAATATAAGAAAT